GCTGGGCGCCGGAAATCGATGTTCTTGGGGTTTTGGCTCACGGACTCAGAAATGGATGCGCGCGCGCTGAAGCGTTTTTTCGTGAGCGCGGCCAATCCTGCTTTCAAGCATCTGCAAAAGTGTGGCGGAGCTCTTCCTGGTCCGAAAGTCTTCCAATGCCATATTTGCCCTGCGGGTCTTTGTATTCGAGCCGGAGCCCTGGCCGTGAGCCTTCTTCCAGCCAAGCTTGTGAAGCAGCGAGCACCACCGCCGCCAGAATCACTCAAGGACAATGTATAAGGTTTCTTTGAGTAGGTTGATTCAGGGTTTAGGGTTCAGGGTTTTAGGCTTTTTTGTACGTAGGGCTTTGCGGACATCATGTGTGAGGATATCGTGGAATGCCAAATTTTGAACAAGCTCGCAGAAGCGCCGAAAGGGAAGAGCAAACTGCTGATCTTAAAGTATTGTAGCCTCGAAGGTCCCACGTACTAGCTATGAAGAATTCTTAGCAACAAAGGTCCCCATGCATATCTTACACAATTGTACTTATAATAGCCTTCACAACCTCTTACTAGAAAGGGCTACCAAAAAACACAACCAAATTTTGCGTGGCATTTTTACCGTGATGCATCATGATAAGCAGTGTTGTAAAAAGTCGTATTTTCAGCACAAGCACAGATATGCTGTAAATAGCAGTAGATCAGAGGCTTGACGGGATGGTTCCCGCACGGGTTTCAAAGTTAATGAGCAAGACCTGTCCTTTCATGAAGCTTCAAAAAAGGCAGCTAAAAGCGTCCCAAAATGGAGTGGTAAATTTTGATGTTTAGAGCTGCTCGTAGTCATCCTGATTGCCATCTTTTGTCATGCTTGAAAGACACGAAATACTGTAAATATCAGTATATCCAAGGCCTAGTGGGATGCTGATAATCATGTCTGTTCCTGTTGTTGTAACCGTCATGCCCATGATGATGTTGAGCATATTTTGGTTGTTTTTGGCCGCTTCGGCGCCCAGGTCCCGATGATAAGTTTTCGCAGCGTAAAACGCCTGAAAGCAAGGAAATACAGTAAATATCAGTAGATTTGAGGCTCCTATCATTCACCGCTCTTGACCAAAATGCACCAAAACGTGGCGTCAGGTAGGTACGGAACACGTAGTAGTAGCAGCAGCAGCAGGAGTAGTAGTAGTAGTAGTAGTAGCAGCAGTAGTAGTAGTAGTAGTAGAAGTAGTGGTAGTGGTAGTGGTAGTGTTAGTGGTAGTGTTAGTGGTAGTTGTTTGTTGTTGTTGTTGTTGTTGTTGCTGCTGCTGCTGCTGCTGCTGCTGCTGCTGCTTCTGCTGCTGCTGCTGCTGCTGCTGCTGCTGCTGCTGCTGTTGTTGTTGACTTATACGTAGACGTAAACGTAGACGACGATGACGACGACTGCATGTGGTGGTGTGGCGGTTGTGCTGGTCGTGTTCGAGGGTGGTGGTGGTTTTGCAAGTGCCAGCAGCAGGTGGCGGAATCAATGACTTCACAATCTGTAGAACTTCTGGGATTTGCATGCATTCTAGAAGCAGCAACAGCATCTTCAAGGTCTCGAGCTTTTTGCTCGTGCAATTCCCTTCAAGGTTCCTGTTGCTCCAGCCACTGCTTGTAGTCTTCCCAGTCCTTCCATGACAGATTTCACATATGGAAAGAGCTTCAGGATCTGGCTCGAGCAAACCACAGCATATACCCCTGTCGCGTCTATAGTTCTATCGATCTTCTCTGTGCTGACGTGACAAAGTCCTCGACGGAGGGAGCTGGACATTCCCAGCCCTGCTTCTTTCTGGGCCGAGGTGTGTCCCGGGCCTGGTACACAAATGGCAAGAAGACTCGTCAATCAAATGGTAGTTTCCCATCATAAGGGGACCCCAATATAGGCCCCAAAATACTTTAGTCCTTATTATAGGTACCCCAAAAAGGGAGCCCTAATATTGGGAAACCCCCAAATCATCCTACCATCAGATTTCCTGAGAGCCACGCCAGGCTCCAGCCAGGCTTGCTTCGTTGCTCGTCGCTGCCCATGGCTTGAAACTATCACGGCCCAGGCAGAGAAGACCTGCAGTGTGGGAACTTGTACTATTACTATTACTATTATGTTTTACTACTACTATTCTTGTTCTTACTACTATTATTACTATATCTTCTTGCCTTACAAGACCTTGTAGAGCCTTGCAAGCTTCATGGTGACAGGTGCTTTGCTCCCAAGGTGGATGCATGTTGCCTGCTTGCTGGGCGTGGCGGTTGACAATAGTTCAACCACGACCCAGGTACTACCAAATGAAAATTGAAAGCTCGGGTGCCACATTTCTTCAGTCACCGCTGTTGCTACGCCATGCGCTGCCAGGGCAAGAAGGAGTCTGGGAGAGATCAGCAAAAGTCCTCGATGCTCATCCAGAAGGTGCCATCCTCCCCGCCTTTGTAGTTCGTGGCCGCCTTGCAGCCATTTTCAGGCAGTGTGATTCGCATCTGGGCTTTCGATGTGCACGACTCTTGCCGCAGTGAGGCCTAGGGTGGAGATGGTACTGAGGGAAGGTCCTTGCTTGTGCTTTAGGGGACAGTCCGCCGCATGACATCCCTACTTGCCCCACCCCTCGAGGGGCATGTTTTGTCTTCTGCAAGTTACCGCTTCAGATCCAAACGACGAGGAGAATGCTCGCCAGAAGGTTGTGTTGCGGTGGCGCCTTCATCTCTGGTGTCCATTCACCAAATGCGTTCCTTGTCTTCAGTCATGCGTGAATGAGTTGCAGCTTGTTGCATATCAGAAGCGTGCCCTGCGGCCAAGGGACGCATCGGACCACTTGCCCTTCCATTCGCCCTGTCCCCAGGGATTTCGACCTTGCAAGGTTGCACAATATTGCTCAGATTGTCAGCGCCAGGATTGCAGCTCTAAGACTGGCACAGCAAACGAGCTTGTTTCCACAAGCTTCCACAACGCGCAGAACTGAGTATACCTTGGCAGAACAATCCAGATCTCATCACAAAGAACTTGCACTTGCCATGAGAAACCTTTAGCTAGGATGTCTGCGTGGCCATGGACAAGGCCATCGTTGGTGATGCCCTCAAAGCACTTCAGGCGACGGCACTCCCATTAGCAGCATCATGAGCAAGGACATCAGGGTGCCTCTCCACACTTCCCTTGCCCAGCCTTTCCTCCTGTACACAAGTTGTGGAAAGCCACTCCGCAAACATTACCTAAGAGAACTTACCAGTTCACTAACTCCCTACACCTGCCAGGGCTGCTACAACCCAAAAAACAAATAGCATGACCTTGCAATGAGCTCGTGAAAGCGACTACTTAGAGAAACAGACGCTGACCACAGCTGTGCTGCAGAGTCCTGCAACTCTTGACTTGGTGAAGGTTGTGGACAAGACCCACCCCTCGGAATGCCTCAAAATCCAAAGAAAATCAACACCAGAGCACAGGCTGCCGAGAACTTTGGCAGATCTTCCAATGCAGGGACTCGGAGCCGTGCGCAGCGTGGAGGGTCTGACAGGTTGTCTGCTCTAATTAAGCGGCCAACATCCAAAGCTTTTGCAGCTGTGGTTTCGGGTGCTTTGAATACAGGGTCCCCTAAGCCCATGCAAGCCCCTTAACTGTGTGGCTGACAGCCTCATAGTAGACATTGGCGGCCAAAGGCTTGTACCTTGTCTTCTCCTTGATCTTAAACCTCAGCACAGCAAAAAGGTCAGCAAGAGGCTTCCTGGCTTTGTACCTAAATTAGAAATCGGAATCAAGCATGTCCAACTGGTGAAAGCAATGGCACGCCTGCGCTCCCCCTGCTTCCGAATGAGTCAAATCAAAAAACTGGTTTTCCTGCACCCGCGACCTCCTGAAGAAGCTCACAGACTGCGACCGCAACCCGGCCAGCAATTAATTCTGTACAGGTCTGGTACAAGGAGGGACAGCGACCGCACAACTGGTGGCCATAGCCCCTGCCTCAGTCGGATGGGAACCATGTCGGGTCTCAAGGACTTCATCGATAGCTCTAGCAGGAATGCCGCAGCACACCAGCAAGGAAAGAGGTGCGCACCATCCAACTATAAAAGACCTCCTACAAGCAATCCAAAGCCAACTGCACATGTCACGGGACAGTGCAGCAGACCAGCAGCTGTTAAGCCTGCTTCAATGTAGAACGTGCCTCTCGCACATTCGGAAGCTGTGCGATTATGTCATCTCTAACTGAAGAACCAAAGTTAAATGCAGGGCAAGGCCCATGAAGGCCGCTGTGCTGTTTCAGACTTGCAAGCAACATTGCGCTCACAAGTCCAGTCCAGGATACAGCCAATGCGAGATCCAGAGCGCACTTTGCACTGCCACATCCGCTTGAGGAGGACACTGCTACGACCTATTGAAAAGAAGGCCTCGAAGCGAGTAAAATCATGTCGATGTCTATGCAAAGGAATTCCGCAGAACGTTGTCTTGATTCAGGCCTTCAAGTGGTGCGGTACTCCATACCGGCTTTGAGTGTAAAGTGTGTTGAAAAATCTGCACACCTAGTCGCTCAGGACTTGTCAAGGTCCGTCAGGGTCAACATGCTTTGTGCCATCTTTCCACGATGGCGCGCTCCAACCTACAGTTCGAAGGGGCCCGATGCTCTGTTCTGGCCGCGGCTGAAAATTCAGGACAACCACGTACCAGTTGTCACCTGCTGTACGTGAAGACTTCCCAAATAAACCTTGCCAAACCCCAAACTTGTAACGAGCAAGTCATGTACGTGCGTGTGCGACATGTGTGCCATGGTGCCAAGCCAGCACCGTTTTCAGGCGAGCTCTCCTGCACGGCAAGATGCAAGCACAGGCGACAGAAACACAGGTTTGCCGTGTTCATGTTAGCAAAGTCCTTGTCAATTCGTGTCGGGGATGGGTCCGGCGTGCGCCAGCCGCGGTTCAGGCTCTTCAGCTTCACAGCGGAGCGCATGTCAGCAAAGGCAACCTCTCCACAGGACCACGATTAACCAAAAGCACGACAATGCGCCTGTCAACAAAAGAAAGGCGGCCTGGCGCTGCACCTTCCACTCCATGTGCAGCTTGGCCTGGCATTCTCAAGCTTTGCTTAAAGCAGTCTCCGCCCTTAAACATGAGTTCTTCAACACAGTTTAGTAGAGACAAACATGACTGCGCCGGCAGTGCTAAATTCCCATTACAGAAACTTGACAGCGGTCCAAGTTCTGCTTCAATGAGCAGTCCCAGCATGAGGCTCAAGATGACTTGGGGAAGGGCCTAGTCGGTCTTGCTGTTTGCCCACAAGGGGGCGCCGCCACTTCTCAGTAAACAGTCCCGCTACACCGAAAGATACCGAAAGCGCAGACTCTTGATTGAGCATTGATTTCCCGATGCCCTACGCGGTCTCTTCGCAATTTGCAAGTGGCGAAAACCAACGAAACTGCGCACTCCACCAGCTTGAGCAAAGGCCTTGCTGAGAAGACGCTGCATGCCATTGCCGCTGGAGGTAGCCTGTGTGCAGCGCGGCACATTGAAAGTGAATATCTGTTGCTTCTTGACTAGACCGCAAGCTGACCTTCTCAGGCTACGCCTCACTCTTTGTGTGGTCTGGCCTGCGATGATGGGGTTGCTACAGTCACCGGGCGCTCAGCAGCTTGCACGCGTTCGGAGTCGGCCCAGGCAGGTTTCCTAGCAGAAGGCCCAAGACACACATTTCCATGCTCCATGCGCTTGCAGTCGGGCAAATCTTGGAGGTTCGTTTCTCAAAGGGCAAGCTGCTGGTGTTTCCTGGCTTCGCAACATGTTGCCAAAGCCCGGGCCTGTTTAGCGCTTCGAGGAGTACTGCCGGATCCTCAATAGGCAGCTGGAGCTTCTCGGCACTTGGTGTGGAGTTGCACAGTACCTGACACAAACGCGTGCGGCCTTCAACAACTTCACAGCCAACACACCCTCAGTGCATTCTGCCATGACTCTTCCCTGTCTTTGAGAAGCTCCATCTGAGCCGCAGGCGACATTGTCACTGTGGATGAAGCTGGCCATGTCTCTCTCCGAGATAACATTGTCGCGGTCCACATCGAAAGCCGCAAAAACGTCGGCAACGTCGTGCTCATGAATCCTGGGGTGGATGAGCAAGACATGCACAAGACTCCGCTCGAGCTCTGTCCATGGCACCCGGACATGAGCATAATCATAAAGCCAGGAGGCTGAATCCGTCCCGCGGCAATGATGGCAGCCAAGAACTCAAAGAAGTGAAGTCGCCCATCGCCCGTGATATCCAGCGCCGCAATGGCACGAAAGGAGTCCCTTGTTGTATCTGATGTGCACAGCAGAATGACTAGGCTGCCCAACACAGGCAGATGTATTCTTTGTACATGTTTAGGTTTGCTCGCTTGGCAGTCTCCCTTCTTCGCAGTCCATCCCAGCTCTAGCCAGGTCATCAGTCAATCTAAGTGCAGCCAGATGTCACTTCCTTCAATTCTGGTGGCTTGCTATCAGGCGCGGATTCAGAGCCCTTGTGTGACATCGCTTCCTCAAGGGTTGGAGGTTGCCAGTAAATTCTCTACAGCTTTGTGCGCTTAAAGACCCCGACATCCTCGAAGGCAGAGACCAGCTTGCTCACTGGCAGCGAGCCTTTCGGCGCTAGTGTCTCGAGGCACTCCAGCTTTGCGAAAGTGTCCTGCAAGCGGAGGCGGGTAGTATGTGACTGAGTCATCCAGACAGGAGGCAGTGGGCCTCACATACCCACCCGCCTTGTACTCCGTCCACGTTTCTGGAGAAAGGTAAATTGTGGATGCCAGGCTGCCTGACTAAGGTCCCTTTTTTAGCGAGACAAAAAGAGCGCGCCTTCTGGACATTGACACTAGAAGCCATACAAAGCGGCCAGGTCGCAGCAAATGTGTGCCAGTACGCCACAATGTGCCATGCGATTTCCGGCAAAGCAGAGATCCTGTCACCATTCGCTCTAGTTCAGAACATGGCTGTGCACTGATGTAGCATCGACCGCCGTGGTAGGAGCTTGTCCCATTGATGGATAAACTTTCCAGAGCTATGCAGCTTCAATCCATTCTCCTTGAGGATCGGCGCCAGCGTCACAGGAGCTACAGGGCCCTTTGGTCCAACTTGGCAGAGCCAAGGATGGACCTGGACACCAGCAGCGGTGAGCCTCCCAGGCTCAATTTTTCTTCCAGATCTGACAGATGGTAATGGAATGCAATCTGGCATTTCAGTATGATGGCGCCTCTTCTGAGGGTCGCGCTCCATACATCTTCGAATCAAGTCCTGCCAAAGATGAACAAGGCTTAGCAAGCGTGTACAGGAAGTGTTCATATCTCTGGGACAGCCGAATCCGTGATACCGAGCAAAATTGGCTCAGTAGCACTTTGCGGGAAGCGGTATAAGCCAGGATTCTCGGAGCCGATGCCGACCCTGGACGACTCCAGTACTAGGTATTAGAACTGTACTCCTATTGTACACCCCCATTTGCGGTGAAACCCTGAAGAATCCCGATATGAAATTCTGGCCTTGCACTGAGGTGATACATTTTCCCATCGCGGCCCTACAAAGGCATCTGCCAGCGGATCGTCACAGAACTTGAAGTTGGCAATGTTCCTCAGTTCATTTTCATCAAGTCTGGACCTCAAACTGCAAGGAGCTCAAGGCATCCTCCTTTTCAATGGATCGAATTCCCCCCTGGCGCGACCCTTTTGGTGCAAGTCTCGACTGAAGAGGGCTAAGGATTGGATGACTAAATTCTGTTTGAAGCAAGTATCCAAATGACGTCTGCATGAGATTTGCCATTGAAGGGAGGCATTCCGCTGACGAGCATGTAGATGAGGACGCCAAGAGCCCAAATATCTACTTCTTGTCCGTACCCGTTGCCTTTGCAGATGGCGCCATCCTTCAATCCAATCACTTCCTTGACTGCACATTGTTTGTTTTTCAACTGACTTTTGAAAACTTGTTGAAAACTTGAACACCACGCTTAGGAGGCTTGTCCGTATGCCCTCAGCCTTGACCCTGAATTTTAGGAGTCCTTCCTTTGGAGGTGTGGCCCTAGGCTGGCCACAGCTCAGGGTATTGCATAGGCAGCGGAAACACGAACCACATGCGTTGGCGATGGAACTTGATAGTTCTTGGGCTTGCCTGGTCTACGACAACATTGTCAGGACCTGTTCTGCAACCACGAACAAGCTTGTCGTCATAACGCTTACCCTAGCGACCACCACTTTCACTTTGAGTATGCGAACGAGTGGCAGGAGCCACGTAGTAGCAGGTTCCGCACATCTGATTCAGCTTCTGTGCACGACCTCCAAAAAGAGCATTTGGCGAGCTTGAGTCCTATGATACTTGTCTGGAGCTTTGCTTGTGATCATGCTGATCATGCCCTCTTTTCAATCAACTCGCCTTCTCCATCCTTTCCGGCAATGTACGCGGTGGCCAATCCAAAATCGATCAGTTTCAGCCTCTCTTGAGCTGGCGATGCAAAGACCCAGTTCTCTAACCTGGGTTGATGCGCGCAGCGTAGTGCCGTAGCTGTAGCATAGCAACCATGCTGCCAAAAGCTACCGTGTCAGGCATGAAGTGAGTGCATCTTCGTAGCTTGATGTCACGGTGTACCATGCCCATGCTGTGGATGTAGCGTATGGCTGCTGCCATCTGCTTTACGAGAACCGCGATCCTGGCCTGTGACATCAAGTGTCTCTGCATTGGGCCGTGAATCGCTCATGCGCCGCAATTCATGAAAAGATATGAAAAGTATGCTGGCCTCCGTGTCTAGCATGGCACCTCCTTGCCGCACCACCGAAGAAGTTCCAGCAGCCAGCTCGAACAGCTCACCTTGCCAGATCTCCCGCTACATCCTCTGGCACTCTAGCAGTCCTCTGAGGAAAGATCTACGACGACAATCTTTGCAGGCCCCCAGCTGAGGCGCCTCCTGCGCACAGCTCCATACAAAGCCAAATGTCTCCGTTCCTTTCTATGAAGGCCTGCCGCAGTGACAAGCAGTGCGCCGGCATGCCGCATGGTAAAACGCAGTACACACTGCAAGGCAAAGTTCTCAGCAAACTATGCAAGCACTGTGTTTTCAGAGTGCAGTGCGACAGCCACGATGCAAGATCAACGCCTCGTTGGCTACGTGATTGCTACGCGTACTTCCATGTTTTTCTACCCCACTCTGAGTTTTGACCTGGATGGGCCTGCAGAAGGCGGCAAATGTTGGGATGTGAGAGGCGCAGGTAGAGGTTGACCTCAGCAGACCCGCTTTGTTTCACCGAAGCCCTGCAACCGTCACTCATTCACCTTGCCTCGTCTGGCAGTGGGCCATCAGCACCGCCGTCAAGACACTTGGCTGCCACCCGACGACCGCTCTTTCGATGTTTGGCGACAAGGACCGCGCCGTGCATTCCAGTCCCCAAGACCTCCTCCTCGCTGTGACAGCTGTCTCTCTACTGTCGGCTCTCCTATGTTCAAGCGCAAGCAAACTGCGAATAAGTAAGCGGTGCGCCTCAGCAACGTCATAAATGTCCTAGGCAAAAGATCACAGAGTAGCGACTTGGAGGCAGCAATAGCAATGACGTGTAATGAGGAAGGAGGGGTGCCTTCGCTTTGTAATGCCGAGCAGCGTGAAAAGAGACGTGCCTCAAGACTTTGCTTTGAAGCGGCAGTGGAAGCTCCAACTCCTCAGAACACAAAAGCAGACTTGAACTGAATTGCCCAAGCACTTCTAATTCCGATGCCTCCGCGCGAGGCTCCATGGACTCGTCCACAAAGGCTGATCGGGACGATCGGTCAGTGCTTGCCGAAGCTGCTGCTCCGAAGGAGGTAAATGTGGTCGCAAGCAAAGAGCGGACCTCGCCGAGAAGCTGAGATAGCAAGCGCGACTTCAAAGTACATGGGAACTTTCAATCGTGTCCCGGGAAGAAAGAAAACATGCCACCTCTGACTAAGACGCGCTGGACCCAATGCCGTCTGTAACATTCTGACAGCTAACGGCTCTCAGCCACTCCCGTCGCAGAAGACGCCGCATGCCCCAGATAACGAGGCATCCCACAACGCTGGAGACCTGACAGGCAGGCAAACATAGTCGTGTCAAGCGGCCCACGCTCCTTCATCTTGCCCGGCTAACTTCCAGTCTTACAGGCCAGGTTGCAGCAACTTTGCTGGTCCATTGCCGCAAGCGGTTTTCCATATGCTTTTTGTACATGGCGTCAAGTGCGTGGTATTCCAGAAAAGAAAGGTTCCTTAAGCTGGCATGAAGCTTGTCAGTCTGCACTACGAAAAAGCTATGGGAATCTATGCTAACCCATCTTTCACAAGTACCCCGGTCCCTCATCACTCCGCATTGCTTCTCATTGCTTCTCATGATGTACGAAGCTGAGAGCTAGCGTTACACTTGCCGAGTCAAGCTCTGCGGGTCCTCTTTTTCTGTTTCCCTCTATTCCCATGCGCGCATAACCGCCATGATTCCATTCTACCGCATTTACCTGTTGAGCCTGCTCAGAGAAGCGGATGCAGCAACACAAAATCGTGGAACACCTGTGATTTGCAAATCCACGCTGCAGCCAAACGCAAAGTAACATAACCCTACGCGAGGATTTGCCACCTATGCTGCGTCTGCGGACGCATGCAGCCATTGCAAAGTAAGCAAGACTGGCAGGAACGATCTCATTATAATATATCCAAAGCCCTATTCGATTTACTTAAGGGGTACTATAACCCCAATATATACCCTAGTACAATATAGTAGTTTCCATTTTCTTTTCCATTATCCCTATATAACCCCCAACAGTATACCCCAATATCTATTTAAGGGGGACTATATTCCTGTTCGTAAAGCTGCAGCGATGAAAAGGGATTGTGGTTGGGCTGCTGGGTCACTGGGGGTCCAGCTTTCCCATGGCACCTCCAAAGAGTGCTGAAACAGCCTGGAAACAGAGACACCGGAGAGCGATTAGCCCCTACACCCTAAGCCCTATGGAAACTACTTTCTTTTCCATTATTCCTATATAACCCTTTATGGAACCTATACATATACATATATATATATATATAACCCCAATGTAGCCTCGCCAGGCAGGCCGCCGTCGCACATCTCATAGCAGGTATGCAACCTGAGCACGCTCAGCCTTCAGAACTTCAAGCAGCCTCGGAGAAGACAGGCTTCGGCTTGCAGAATGCCTTCTCAAGCAGGGGCACCCACCTTGGTTATGATGTAGGCGCTAAGTTGGCTGGGCAGAGACTACCAGGTAAACAGCAGTACAGGAAGGAAACGTATGAGGCAAACAGCCAAGTACAGTTGCCTTGGTCTCGACCTGAGACACGAGCACTTCATCGTGATCGTAGCTCTTGGCATACCTTACACAGGCCATGCTTATCTTCAGCAAACGATTTTTGAGCTGTTGCCATGCATCAGGATGTCTCAGGCCACTCAATGGCACGGGATCTCAGTGTTGCGCAGCAATCGACCGTACTGATCCACAGGCATCCAATCCTTTGGTCAAGTCGTAGTCACGGAGAATTGGTTAATTGTCCAGGCAAGGCATGTTGCAGACAAAGGTCATCAATGATGGTGTGGTACCACTCGCCATCCAAGAAGAACCTGCATATTTCAAAACATCACAGAAATGCTCTGCCTCTGCCGGCCGAAGTGCCTAACGCCATACACCCCCACGTCGATGTCGTGCTCCAAGAAGCAAGATCGGACGTTCTCAGGATCTTCGCCCACCTAGTTCAAGCTTATCGTCGTCTACCTATCTGCAGAGCAGGCGTGAAGTGAAGGAAAGGCTGGGTGCAAAGACCATGGCGCCCAGAGCCTTGGCATAGGAAAGCCCACCCTTACGCCGGCCCTTTGTCTGACTCGCATGTTGCATGGCAGAAAACTTCGAATATTTTTTATCAGCGCGCCTGATGCCATATACTTTTCCCGTGGTCTGATGACCCACCGGGCCCACCATGTGCAAGGCACACCGGACCGCCAAACTCCTGCCACGTGTTTTCCTGTCAGCTGCTCCACATGCTTAGGCTAATCCCCATGCACTGAAATGCTTCCGAATACTGATAAGCAGCATCAGGAAAATTGCCGAAGCATAGACGTCCTGCTGGAAAAGTTTGTGGACCCGGAGGCTTCATCCACAAGCTACAAGTCCCAGCGTAGAGCTGCAAGACTTGTTCAAGTCAGAGAAAATTCGAAGAGAACAGATGCAGTATCTGTGGGGATTGCCTGGTTCTGGATGCAGCCGGCGTCTCTGGCATTACGAAGCGTAAGGAATATACCGAACACCCTCTTAGGCACAAAATAGATTTTGGAAGAATGGGGGCATCATGCAATCAAAACAACCAACCAATGGCGGCTGCAGAAAAATCATGCAGGCAGGCCCTTTCCTTATGGCCTTTGCGGTTCGTGGGGCAATTTGCTCATCCACAGGGCACATCCCAGCCGTCTACATGGCATCCTGTATCTGGCTGGGAGCCCCCAAGAATTTCCAAAATTTTTCTATGAATAGACAATTGAGGACAGCAGGCACCAGTTGCCCAAGTCCATTTCGGCTTCGCTGAACCTTCATGCAATGATGTTGGCTAGATAGCTCATGCACGCTGACATGATACTGAAAAGGTGATCTAGACATGATCATGAGGAATGCTGACTACCGACTACTGACCATAGTTTGTCTTCATGCTGCCGGGATCGCCTTACTTGGCAGCCAACTCTGCAGCTCGCGGAAGAGGAGGGAACGAGATGAGCACCACCAAGCAAATCACCCTGAGCTTGAGAAAGGTCTGGACACAAGCATGGACATCCTAAGTCAAAGACCTGAAGAATCCTGTTTGGAACAGGTAGCGCCAGCGCCGGCATCAAAGGAGCAGCAGCCACAGCCACAAGTGCTGTCGCCCAGTCTGGCACAGGCTTGGGCACTGGAGCACCTGCCACTAGCACTGCCCAATGTGCTCATCTGCAAGCAGATAACACCATGCAGCAATTTTTCGGCTTACAGGCAAGAGGACACATCACCGCAGATACAAAGCTGCCACTGGCCTAAGCAGCCTAAGGGCAAACTGCAGCGGGGCGGCCTGTCATACAGTCGACCGTGGTGCCCACCTCTACTGAGAAGCAACAAACAAGATATCGATTTAATTGTAACTGCCCCCAAGTGTAACTGAGAAGTTGACAACTTGATCCACTCCAGGGCAGCAAACATTGTAGTTGCCATGGGCACCGGTAGCACGATGGTGGCCTCAAGCAGGCGAAAGCCACCCTACCACACAATGGCCCCCTTTCCACATGCATTCTCCGGGAACCTTCATGATTGCGGCGCAGGTATCTGAAGAGAGCCGACTTGCGCAGGCCGGCCAAGACCCAGCTTGGGGCACCAACCTTGCAGAACCCGGCTCACACAGAACAATCTGTCCTCTATGCAGCTACGTCTTGCGGATACAGCAGGGAGCTGGACCTCCACGGGCACGTCTTCCAAGCCATGCATGTTTGGATGAAGAGCCTGGCAATACCAGCTTGTGACGGGAGTGGTACACTGCTGCCAGACAAGCCCATTTCAGTCTCAGGGCGTGCAGCGCACGACCAAACAAGATCAGGCCAAGGTGCGTTCCACAGCAAAGCGTGCAGCATCATTGCGCTCAAAACAACAGGGACGATGACCTGCATCAACCAGCCGCATGTTTGACTGATAAGTGGCCCCCTCATCGGATCTGTCTGCTGCAAAGCTGCATAGCCAGACCAGCCAAGGAAGGACAAAGCTGGGTAGGCCATCAGCCTAGTGCTTCTTTCTTAAAAAAAACCATAGGAAGTTCTGATGCCACAGAGTTGCATCACACCAGCGGTCATTTTCAGCGTGCCATCCCAAGGGAAGCAAGTGCCTGCAAAGGCGCTGCAGGCAGAGGATCCACCCAAGGCTTGCGGCACAAACCTCTCCAAGGGTCCATGTCCAGGATCGGGTCGCGTCCGGGTTCGATCTCGAGGCTCATATCTTCATCGACCGTCTCCTGTCTCGGTTTCATGCGCATACGGCTGCTTACAGATCACCCACCATGATTCGCAAGGCCCCATCGCACTCCGCTTCTCTAGTGGCAGCGCGGTCACAAAACAAAAAACGTGCGCAAGTGAGCACATGGAAGTGGTGGGCGTAGATTCATGGCGGCGGAAAGAATTGTTGCTACGTTGTACTGCACTTGCGGAATGCTACTAATGTAGCATGGAAGGCTGCAGTCCCGGTGATGCTCCACGTGTCCATCACCCCGAAAAGTAGACAGGTTGAAGGTCGAGCGAACAGCTCGGACCTGCAGCTTGGTGCTTACGTCAGCGGAATTGTGGGTGAAGATTGCCAAAATGCAGCAGGGCGTCAGCATCAACCTTGTTCAGTCCTTGGCTTTGGCCCATTTGAAAAACGGGCAGGACAGCAAGGACACCACAATGTAGCCCAAGTGGCCCAAATGTTGGAAGTACCGATGGTAAACATATTCAGCCAATGACCTGCAGCCATCGCAGCTATCAGAGCTGCAGAGCTGAAAACATGCTGGGCTTGCACTCGTGACTGGGGATCAGACATGACCGCGTACAGAACGATCAGGCCCGCCACGGCTTGGCCACCCATCAGCAAAGGTGCCATGCTCATCAGAATGGAGCTGCCAGCCACCTCTAATGATCGTTTTAACGTCTTGTGCCACGTTCGCTTGCTGCTTCATGATCTGTCGCCTCTTCGCTGCCGACAGGCAAGGCTGGCCGGCTTACAAGGGGTGCCGCTACCTCAACCGGTGATTGCCTGCGTGGCCATCATCACGTTTGTGCAAACTTGCAGGACTCGGTTCAATGACCAGACTCGCAACGTGCGGTCATCGGTGCTGGCAGCATGCTTCCAATACTTAGGGCAGAAGCGGGCAGAACACTACCTCAAGAATTGGCCGACACCTTGTCGGCTGCCGCAGGCCAGTGTGCGAGGTACTTGTCAGACCAGTCAAAGTGAAGCAAGGCAGCCAAGATTTGCAGAGGCTCAGGGTAGCCACCTCAGCAACAAATATGCTGAAGAATTGCACCTCGGCTTCCTTCACTTGGCCAGACAACGGCGTTAACATTCGCCGAAGATGCTCCAGCAACCATAAGGAGAAGCATTGGTGAGGCCGAACTCCTGCTCAAATCACAAGAAGCACAAGAAACTCTGGCGCGAAGCATAGAGATGATGTGAAAGGGACGTGCTGCGTGGCCGAGACCCTATCACCAATTACAGCTGCCCAACGTTCAACCCTAGCACTCAGTTGTGGTGAAGAAAAGATCAACAAAAGCATGTTGTCGACTTTCTACGTTGGGCAAAATGCGCTTCATCATGCAAGAGATCTGTGGTTTGCGCGAATTACTTGCGTTTCTGCAATTGCCTCACCAACTGTTGTACAGCAGTCAACTCAGCAGCCATCAACCGCTGAAAGCCTCATGCCCAGCCGGCATCCAGAGCTTTTGAAAAAGAAGGACTTGCGAGCTACCATACAGATTAGACACGCGCATCACACAGCGTGCAGGCACGGCAACGAATGTCCAGGTCAGTCACAAACCCCACTTGGAGGGTAGCAGGAAAACACTCCACAGCAAGTCTAGGTTACTGCATCACTCGCTTTCCCAAGTACAGTATCAGCAACAATCAGAAGTGGAAATAGTTCATTGATTAGCTGATGAGCTTTAAGCCAAATTGGCAGAATGCTCGCGCGAAGAGTCTCCTGCCACGAGCCATTGCTGGGTAATGTCGGAAGATGGGACAGTTGAAGGGCTACCGTGGAGCAAAAATTGCTGGCAGCAACATGAGAGTGACAACCAGTTTAGCTTTCTGGTAGGCACTGCTCTGTCTGCTTCAGGGCTTTGGGGAAGCTGAGCAACGGAAACATGGAGCTGCAGCCCACTATTTCTGGTAGTTGGCTATCAGCCAGCAGGGATAGATGTCAGCCATACAACTGAGAATCACACTCCCAAGAAGAAGCAGGTCCCGATCTGCCCTTGAATGATATCTGCGGGCCTCCAGCAATTTGACTCGCAGAGGACATCTTCCTCAGGTCCGAGGGCTTTGCCTGACTCCTCCCTTGAAGAGGACTGGTTCGTCGATGATCTCTGTGAGGCGCTTGTACGCAGCTGGCTTTGCCTCAGAACCGGTCAGCCATCTCACGGGCCATGGTGGCAGGATGAGGTGTCTGTATGTATATATATATATATATATATACATACGCATATCAAGCACCTATGCCTGTAAAGTCCAAGTCTAGGCTTCTTTGAATAGCCATGAGTAGCGCGCGCGCAGCGACTGCCTTTCGGTTCATTAGTCTGGGTGAAACAACCATTCTACTTTTCAGTGGCTTTTGCCTCTTACGCCTGATCTTGCATGCGCAAAACGGCCTGATGCAGAGGATGCTCGTCGACCGGTCCGTTCTTTGGTTGCCGGGACGTCTGTTTCCTTGTCCAGAATTGGGGCGGGCACACGACCAAGCAGCACCTTGAGCTCTGGTGGGAAGAAGCCCTTGCTGTGCGCAAGTTGCGCGGCGGTCTGACCGTAGGCATCGCGCAACGACCGGATGGAGGGCCTGCAGCGGATGAGCAAGTCGCATAGCTCCAGAAGACCACCATCCTTGCCATGAGACTTGCTCCCCGCACCTACACATGCATGATGCAATGCAGTACGACCCAAGCTGCACACCACCTGCGGATCTCCAGTTGCTCTGAGCAACACAGCAGCTGTTTCCAAATTCCGCTGTCGACATGCCAAATGCAATGGGGACAAAAGGCCTCGTCCAGCACGTTGGTTTGGACCCGAAGGGAGTCGCTCTGGCCGGCCGTAGCGGTTGGGATTGTTGTACTTCCCAAGAATTACTGACAGCAATAACTCCGCAATGCCAGCTCTGCCCATGTGTGAGGCCAGATGCAAAGGCGTGAGCTGATCAATGTTGGTAGAGTATGCCTGCCGCTTGTCTTGTTCCAGGAGCATGGTGCATATGCTGCGGTGGTCTCCAGCGGCGGCCCACCATAGTGGAGTCTGAAGGCGGGAATCTCGGGCACATACGCGGGCCTTTGCCTGCAAAAGGATCTTGCAGATGGCCTCTGACCCAGAGCCCGCAGCAAAATGCAGGGGCGAGCCACCACTGATCTCGTCTCGAACCTCTACGTCAGCACCCTCCCGCACCAGTTCCTGCACAGCCCCTGTGTGATGTGTGAACTCAATGTCGCCCTGGAAGGTGCTGCTCAGCGAGGCATAGTATGCATCAACACATAGATCGAGGACCGGAAAAATGGAGCTCTTGAGTCGGCTCCACACCGGTTCGCCCTGTGGACCCTTTCCTAAATCATAGCCGCTCAGCGGCCCTAGTGGATCGTAGCTTGGCCGTGCCAGGGGCTCGAAGACGGGCAACCGCCTTGCTGGCAAGGCACCCGCTCCCACTAGCGGTGCTCGCGAGCCGCTCATCGCTGCTGGCAGCTCAACCTCAATAACCTCATACCTCCCCTCAGGCCTTGCCAGTTGGAACTGCCCCCTTACAGCAAACGAGGTCAGCTTGAGCAAATTCACAGGCACTTAGACTTGCACCACGCACTTCAAGCAATGCAGATCATGCAGTCATCTCAGCTGAACTTTTTTGGACTTGGACCTCGTACCAGCACAGCACCAGCCCCTCTCTTCCCAAAAGTTTCACCGGAAATGCGTGGTAACACCAGTGTATAGCCTTACCAGCCTACTAAGCTCTTCGAACTTCCAGGCGGGAAGAGTCCAGCTGCTGGAGCGCTGATCAAACCTGTGTATGTGCCTGCATGGCTAATCTGCGCAAATGGCCTCTCGAGGGCCGGTCAGAATGGTACAGCAAGATTTGCTGCTCTTCAAACAACGCCTCAACATCCAAAGACGACTGTACATGGTTTATTGGACTGCCGATGGAGTCACATTTGTGATTCACAACGGAAAGCCACGCAATGGGGCACCCATGCAGTTGAACCATTTGCAACAGTCCTACTTTCTGATTCTCGCGTAGGCTAAAAGTAGCTTACCACAAGCAAGGGCTTGTCCATCGTCGTCTTCTGCACCCTTGTATCTTTTTCGATTTCCGAAACGTGCAATTTACTCATCTACCTGGGAGCAATCGCTCTCATCAGCATCTGTTTTGGCAGCCTTCACTACCTTCTCCGTCTCACGGGCCTGATGTTTAGCACAAGCTGACATCAGGTTGATCATCCTTTCCAGATTCAAACACAAGTTGCTGCCAAGCATCTTTCAGGGTTTTTCGAATCCTCACAGGGGTGCGGGAGAAATCTGGCGGAAAATTTGGCCTCTAGCTACGAATGCGAGCTGCTATTTCGTGTCTGCACATGTTTAACCACACAAACATGGGATCTACAAACAGCTTAGAACGCCATCAGCAAGCTTTTGATTTACCAGCCCGGTCTTGTCCACGCGCATCCTTGGATCATACCGACAGAATCATCTGTAAGCCCCACCACTATTAGACAGGAAAGGGCAAGGGGCAGCTTCACAGACTCAGCCTGCGGAAAAGTCCACTGCACTTCAAAAGGCAAGCATCATCTTGACAAAGCCGTCGAAGTCCACAACGTCGTCTGGCTGGTTTTCTCCAATGTCGCGTGCGATCCGCTTGAAGTCTTTAGCTGACAGAGGGCCTCGGCCGATGGACTGCACTAGATAGATTTTAGGATTCAGGCAGGAGGCGGCCCCATGTGGGATGTCTTGCAAAGGGCCGCAAGAGGGATCTCCTGCTGTCGCAGTTCCTCATGCTGCACCAGCGGCCAATGAGACGCCCTTCCCGCAGATCACGAAGGGACACCTGCAAGACTCCGCAAGATGACTCGCATACAGCGGCGAAGCTGCAAGATGTGGCACGGCATTCATGTTTTGTCTCGCGTACCAAATCCGATTATCCTCCCATGTTGGTGTTCCTGTCTTGGCCCCGCCTTCTGATCTCCAGACTTGTCATAATTCTGGTAGGCTGCCTGAGTCGCTAACTAATAAGCGTGCGCTGCCTGCTTGGGCTCTCAGAATCCCAAGGCCAAAGCTTTCAGCATCCTTTCGCTCAGCCCCTTCTTCCTTTCGAAGGTTGCTGCCAGCAGTTCCGTGAATCGAACATCCTCGCAGCAACGGAGAAACCTGTGGAGTTTGGATAGCAGTTATGAAAGCCATTGACGTCCTCCTTCGGAGCTTCGTCGATGTCTTCAAACCCACAAGCCTGGTCATGGGCTGAACCTATCAAACTAGATAGCAACGACACTGTCACTCAATTCCCTCTGCAAACTGCCTCGCAAACCGCTGCCCACGGCACCTTCCAAAGGATGGACTTACAGCCTGTGCACCTGACAACCTTCATAATCTTACCTCTCTTCTATGTCCCAGCTAGATTGAGAGACTGCACCTGGCCCCGGCACTCCGTATCCAAAGCCAAGAAGAAGTCGCGTGCAGCGTTGTTTTCGTTCTCGGGTAGCATGTTTGCCTTACAAGTATTCCACTTTAAGCTCCAGCTGCCAGCTTTGACCGATCTTCCTGCACTTACACAGAAGCAGCGACAGGAAAGCACGCAAGTGGGTAAGATAATGAAGGAGATCAGCAAAGGTCCCAGCAATGACGCGTAAAGCTGACTGCTTCCACTTGTTGAAGCCTCTGAGCCTGGCAGAGGCGGCCGAAAGCCCGCGCCGCCGATCGCTATACTACTGCCACCACGATTGCGCAGACCTAGCATCAAAGATGGCTTTGAACAGCAATGGCGCCTCACGACTCTCTCCGCATACCTGGGCATGAGCAAGTACTTTTGACTTGTGATCAGTTGTAGTTTCTGGCTTAACCTCTCTCTCTCGCGCACGCTCAGGAATCCTATCAGACGCTCAACCCTGCCTGCGCGTATTATAAGGCCTGGCAAAACAAACAATTGGCACAGCTCACCAAAGTGGAAATGGTCTGGCTTCTGCAGCAAAATTGTCAGAGAGGAAAGAAGCGCGTTTCTTCCCCGGACCTCCAACTCAATGTGGGAATCTTTGGGAACCCCATGTGTCTCAAATACACAGCGCACGAAGCCGGATCAGCAGCCCAGCTCCTAAGACTACCACACATGAGGCCCTTTGAACGCAAAATCTGATGCTTACGGCCACAGGATTCGCAGCGAAGCAATGATAGGCACCAAAAACACCCCCAGGCCCTGGCACCAAGGTCCCTGAGGAGTGGCTCAGAGCATCTCAGAACACTCAAAAAAGGCAGTGTTGCAAGACCTCATTCACATCTGTTTTCCAGCAGGCCTTCAAGCCCCTCCAGTATCGTTGGTCACTGTTGCTACTGCTGGTACTGCTGATGCTACTAACACGAGTATGACCATGGCCACTTCTTCTTTGTCTGTTTTGACCATGACAACCATCATCTCGAGGTCCCGTGGTTCGTTCTCCACTTCTGAGCAAACCACCCACCCTGCTGAATGGAGTTGGTGGAGGGATTTGACTGCGGAGAGCCATGCGAATCACCTGGGCTGTGAGCAGATGCATGAAACGAGGCATGGGCCGAGTAACAGGATGAGAGTAGTTCGCAGAAATGGTGAAGAAAGACAGGGCCAATAAGTCATGATACTACTAGCAGATCATGCCACCAGAATCTTCAATCAAGACCCAAAGGGACTGCAACGGAAGTTTACAAACCCCCAAGCTGTAGCAGAAGCGACCCAACAGTACACAATGCTTTGATTTGCTACCTTTCTCATGCAATTCTGCGTGAGTGGCGACAGCCTACTGAAACGAACAGACGCTGGGCATACAAAGATCTGCCAGTTCTGTTGCAACATCTGGGCCGCTGACCAACTGCGCTTCTGACATCCTGCGCGGCGAGTGGTTCAGCATGTGGCATAACGTATTTTCCCCGGCATGGAGGGACTGGCTCTTGCTAGGGGAGGCCCAGTTCCCAAAAATTGTTTTTTCATTTTTTGGCGAATTTGTCAATGGCAACGTGTTTGGATCGCATTCCAAATCTCCCAGCTTGCCTTAAACTGATCTTGGAACCACTTGTGCGAGAGGGCAGTCTTGGCTGTGGCACGCTTCCTCAGCATCAGGTGATAGCACTTTCCCTGAGGCTTCACGTGCTCAAGCCTGGTGGCACAGACCTCTTTTTTGCCGAGGTGTTTC